AAGGCGCATACTCCTACCACTGGAGCCAACAAGAACCCGCCCGCGTCCCCGGCGGCACCATCAAGATCCTCGATCCTTCCACTTTCCCCATTGCATCCACCTTCTCCGCCGCCCTCATCACCGTCGAACCCGGCGCCATGCGCGAAATGCACTGGCACACCACCTCGGACGAATGGTCCTACTTTATCGCCGGCTCCGCTCGCTTAACAGTCTACGAAGCACCCGCCGCATCTCGCACGTTCGACTTTACGGCTGGGGATGTCGGGTACGTGCCTGTGCCTAATGCGCATTATCTTGAGAATACAGGGAACGAGACGCTGGTTTATCTGGAGGTGTTGCAGAGTAGCCAGTATAGTGATATTAGTGTTAATCAGTGGTTGGGGATTACGCCGAGGCAGATTGTTAAGGATCATCTTAACGTCGATGATCTGTTCCTGGATTCGCTGACAAAGGATCACGATTTCGTGGTGCAGGGGAATAGAGATTTGGGGACGACGGATTTTACGCCGGGGGAACATGGGGGTGCTTAGGTGGTGAAGATTAGCTTGAAAGTATAGTCTGATGTAGATGTTGTTTTGTAGTGCCCACGCAATGATGTAATACATGTAACAATATCCTTCCACATCACCTCTCACTCCTTGCCACTCTCCCTCATCCATCTACCCTAACCTCTCCCTACACAACCCCACCGCCACATCCGCCGTCGCCCCATCAAAGAAATCATTAAGTATCACAACAACCCCCTCTTTCCCCATCAACTTCCTCCCCACCTCTCCCTTCAACAACGGCAAGATCTTATGATCACACACCGGTTTCGTCGCTAGAATCGGACTGGTACTAACATCCGAATCAAGCACACTAGCAATAATCACATCCCTGATATTCGTTGCCGTAGCCTGGCATTGTAACAATGTGATGGGGTGGCCTCTAGGTGGGTCTTCACACATGGAAGACAGTTTCTCGACCATCGAGTCACCAGTCAGAGTAGCATTTGCAGCGTCGTCGTAGTTTGAAGCTTGGCCGCAGTCTTTCAGGATGATAAGGCGGGTATTTGACTCGCGGAGGTCGTGGATGGTTTTGCGCATCATGTCGTCCTGGTTCCCCGCTTTAAGATCTTTATCGCGCAGGATATCGTTGAGCGCATCTCGTAGTTCGTCGTCGTTAGGCCGGGGACAGTCGCCTGGCACGCCATCCCATCGGTTGTGCACAACAATGATTTCGTCTTTATGGTCGACTAGAAACCGCGTGATGTGGTCGAGTAGCACGCGATACGGCATCCCTGGTATGGCGCCATGTTGGAAATACCAGGTATCATCCAAGGGACTGACTTTTTGCATCTGACGGTGGCATTTCGCGGGGCGGAACTCGAAGTAGCGCGCCCCGATCTTGAGGATAGTGTCGAGCGTGTCTTTCTGGGTTATGGCTAGTGCGCGGATGATGTCTGGTGCGATCCGGTTTATGGCGCCGTCGCCGACTTTGTTGATGATGGTGAGGGCGTGGGGAAGACTGCGGCCGAGGACTTCTTTGATGATGCCTGTGCCGGCGTTTTTGAGGAGGGAGAGACTGCTCGACATGTTGTTCATACCGATGTCGTGGGCGGAGGGGAGGACCATTTTGTGGAAGGGGCGGTTGGACTTGTCTGAGCCTTGGGGTATGATGTCGCGCATCCAGTTCTCGTAGTTCTTTGTGACGGTCACGTAGCATTGGTGTTGCTTTGGTAGCTCGGCGAGACCTGGTCCGGCGTCGTAGAATCCGTAAGAAATGACAAGGTCATTGGCGAAGATGCTGGGTGTTTGTTCCATGTTGACCATTGATCCGTCTTCTAACTTGCCTGTCATGCTGTTGATTGCAACCCATTGTTTTGTGAGCTCGCGGCCATCCTGGCGAACGATGAATTCGAAGTTGCCGGTGAACTTGAAATGGGGCAAGTTGGATGACTCTACTTCGAGATGATCGTGGAGGAACTGGTGTTGGTCGCCTCTTTTGACATTGCCCCTTGGTACCGTGTACTCAACCTCGACTCCATCCACCGCGATGTAGGTGAAACATCTTACACCCTTGGAAGGCATTTCCAACTCCTGTTCTTCTCTTTCAAACAGTCTCGTAAATGTATCGTTCGCACTAGATCAGTCCCAACCTTAGCGGGTCTATGCCGGGGGGATCAGAGATGTGCAGCATTTTGAGCTAGGGAAGCGGGGCATCATCTCATATAGCACGACAGCGGGCGATCCGTCAGCCACGCGTTTTCAGCTCTGTCTAGACTCTACGGGTCGTTAGCGGTGGCTTAGCTGTGGTGTTGAAGTGGGGGAAGCCGCTGGGCGCACCAATTAGGCCCAGCAGCCATGGCACGCTACTCGGGCCGACGCCAACCTTGTAGAGCTGGTAGCTCATTGACGACTATTTTTGTAGTTATAGAAAAAGTCCGGGTTCAGCAGATCAGAAAACGGGGAGCTTTCGTTCTTTTGGCTGCACATCACTAATGGCGGTCCCGTGCATGATGACTGTTGAGCTACCCTGAACCTCTGCCGGCCATAGGTAACACAAGGTAGTTTTTTGCCTTTGATTTGATGAAGTCAATCAAATGAACATTGAGTTCAGACGTATCAAGGATACGCTGACTTGTTGTGACGGTATCGACACGAACGACAGGAGAATCCCGAATACTTGTCATACCGTCGATACAGCTTGACGCCGCTGCCAATGAGCCAAGCGGAGTATCGTATATCCATCTCATGATCGACCGGAATGAGCCTAAAAGGAACCTTGGACACTACAAGTTCACCTGAAACGGGGTACATGTTGGGACTGGGCAGTCTTTTCTTGCCGTCAGGTGAGAACTTAGATGTCTTCAGGCTATATTCGGATGTACAGGTGAAGGAGCAAGGCCATAATGTTCACCAGCTTTTACCGGCAAACCGAGCACCGCGGGCCGTTGTTCGCCAGATATGCAGGCGAAGATGCACCTTTCTGTTGGATCTGCATCGCCGGCATGGAAGTATATGCACCGAGAGGGCGGAAGACCCAATAATGTTCAGACGGAGCAGCTAAGCGGGCTGTAAGAGAGTCGAGATGAAACAAGCTATGTGTTTCAGTGCTGGTGGGTGATGCGTGGATGCTGGCAGGAGGTGTTGGTGGGGCAATGAGCTGTTGCCCCTCACCCCAGGGCTCTCGTTGCGAGTACCTCCCTTCTAGAACAAGTAGCTCCATACCGCCTGTTGTCATTAGTGTGAGCTGTCCCCAATTGATTTCCTGCCATTCCACCATCTAATTCCCAATTGCAGTCCGAGCAATCAATCAAACCCGCAAACAAGCCGCTTCGAGTTATACAATAGATACCCCACCATCACCTCGAGCTACAGCAACAACACATCGTCATCATGGTCGACCGTGCGAACCGCCCATCAGCGCTGAACGCGCCTACCGCGTCCGCACCCGGCCCCCAGGTCGACATTGTCGGAGAGGGCGGCAGCCAGAAGGTCGTCGCGAGACTGCCGTCCGGTGAGAGCGTCGAGGTGCTGCTCTTTGGAGCCACAGTTACTAGCTGGAAGAGCAGCGGCGGAAAGACTGAGAACCTCTGGTTGAGCGATGCGGCCGATCTGACTGGCAAGAAGCCTGTACGCGGTGGTATCCCCGTCGTATTCCCCGTCTTCGGTCCTCCTCCCAAGGAGGGACACGCCACTTCGTCGCTTCCACAACACGGTTTCGCGCGTGGATCGCGCTGGGAGTACATGGGCAAGTCGACTGCGGAGGATGCTCTCGACTCCAACTCGGTCAAGCTCGACTTTGGCCTCGACCGCCAGTCGCTCAGCGAAGAGTCGCGCAAGGCGTGGCCGCTGGACTTCGGCCTCGTATACAGCGTCACACTGAGCAAGGACAGCCTACAGGCCGTTCTCACTGTCCGCAACGAGGGCGAGGAGAGCTTCGAGTTCCAGTTCCTGCTCCACACCTACTTCAGGATTCAGGACGTGTCCAAGATCGCCATCACCGGCCTGTCTGGCACCGAGTACGTCGACAAGGTCCTCAACGCCTCTACCCACACCCAGAGCGACAACCAGCTCAAGATCACCGGCGAGACAGATCGCGTCTACAAGGACATCAAGCAGGACACCACATCGATCACCGAAGACGGCAAGCCTCGCTTTGACGTCATCCGCGACAACGTCAAGGACACCGTGACGTGGAACCCGTGGATCGAGAAGGCAAAGGCCATGGGCGACTTCTCACCAGACGACGGCTACAAGAACATGGTCTGCGTCGAGATCGGTGCCGTGGACGGCTGGCAGAGGCTGGAGAAGGGCGAGGTCTGGGAGGGTGGTATGTTGGTCAAGAGCCACTTGTAGGAGACAAGAGCACGCCAACTTAGGAAAACCCTGAACAGCCTGGAGTCTACGTTGACGTTGGGTCACCTACTTTGCAAGTTTTTGTCTTGATGTAGTCTGCAGACCTGTTCAGGTTTTTCTTGTATGAGGCGGGAGGGGGATGAAACTGTGCATGGATCCGGTTTACTGATAGCCTGGGGACTGCCTAGGTAGAGCACCTGAAAATAATGATGAGTCTGGCCAGTCATTGTTGGTATGCACTTGCTATGAGACGGTGACAGACCCTTGCCAGCTGGGACGCCCTTGCCGTTCCACTCTCCCCACCAAAACCTGCGCGCCGTCCAAACAACACACGACACCATGACAACAGTCAGCGCTACCTGAGGAACACGGTCATGCCACTTCTACAAGACAGTCGCGAGGCCTTTCGCTACCCCTTCTGCTATCCGCTGTGGGCTATCGACTAAGGTCCCTGCCTATACCGGCCTTTGTAGCTTCCCCGCACCGCACGAGGTGGTACGACCGCACATATCACATTCACATTTTCCATATTGAAGGCAGTTACGTCAGCTCGATTGTTTACGTGGGCGACACGCTGTAGACCGCTGTCAAAGACGTTGCGCGCCCTTCCCAAGCCGACACCCCTACGACAGGGCCGACGGGCGCAAGTCGCACCAAAACATGTCGCTGATTCCCTACGCCCCAGCTGAGTCGCGGGAGATTGTGCTGTAGGTTCCTATGAGGATATACCATGCGACAACAATGACATGGTGCTAACGAACATCACAGGCGTCATGGTTCTGCTGTTGTCGTGTACGACCAGCGCTCAAAACAACTCTCCCTCCGCGATGCCTCCCACGCGACTGATATCGGCTCTACGTCATGTCCGTACTGTCACCGATCCTACCGCGAACCATCACCCCATGACGAACACGACAGCGACGCGGAGGAACATACTGCGCCTGGCATACCCACCGAAAATGGCTTCGTCAATCCCGCATACTTCCAAATGCTGCGCCGGAGTCAGCCAGGATCAACAGAGGGATCGCGACCCTCATCACCACATAAACAACTAGCGCCTGCCCCTTTGCGCATGGGTAGCTTCGAGCCGCCTGAGGGTTCTGAGTTTGTGGGAAGCACACCGATCCAGCCCGCTCGAAGCCAGGGTATATCTGCCAGAGCCTTCAGTCCCAACTACTTCAAGGACTTCTTCATAGAAGAGCGCGAGCTGGGCAGAGGAGGCAAGGGTGTGGTCTTGCTGGTGCAGCATATCCTCGACGGCGTGCACCTGGGCAAGTTCGCATGCAAGCGCGTGCCAGTCGGCGACGATCACGAATGGCTGGAGAAGGTCTTGATCGAAGTGCAACTACTGCAGACCCTGTCGCACGAGAATCTGGTATCATACCGGCATGTATGGCTGGAGGACTACCAGATATCTAGCTTTGGCCCAAGCGTACCGTGCGCGTTCATACTGCAACAGTACTGCAACGCTGGCGATCTCCACGACTATATTCTAGACTCTATGAAGACATCTGTAACCAAGGAGCAGATGAAGGAGCGACTCAGGAGGAGGTCCAAGGGCCAGCTGGAAGATCCAGAGGACGTGCATGGACCGCGTCGCATGCACTTTGAAGAGATCATATCCTTCTTCAAGGACATCACGTCCGGCTTAAGTCACCTTCATGCCAACGGCTACATACATCGAGACCTGAAGCCTAGCAACTGCTTGCTCCATCGTACTGGCCGCAAGATCAAAGTTCTAGTCAGCGATTTCGGCGAAGTGCAGTCCGCGAACACAGCGAGAAATTCGACAGGAGCAACTGGAACCATCTCATACTGCGCCCCCGAAGTGCTTCGTCAAGAGCGACCTGGAGGTGCTTTTGGCAACTTCACAACCAAGTCTGACATCTTTTCGCTCGGTATGATCGTCTACTTCATGTGTTTTGCACGACTGCCATACCGGAACGCGGATGGTATCGATGAGGACAACGAGGACCTAGATCAGTTGAGGGCTGAGATCTCGACTTGGGCTGGTATCGACGACGAACAGCGGGTTCGCTCAGACTTGCCTGAAAAGCTATACAGATCGCTGAAGACGCTCCTCGCCATCAACCCCGATGAACGCCCAGGTGCAGAGGAAATCCTGAATGTCCTGAAATCACCACTGGTATTCGACGAGTACAATGCATATGCAGGCCCATCGGGTCTAGACGAGTTTAGTCCTCGCATATCGCGAGCCGACACGCCCAGCCCTTCACCTAACCAAGGTAACAAAAAGCGTGCTTCGATCAACTACACACGGCCAGGTCGATCGCATCTCAGCGCAACTGTCATGGACCGCTCGCCTAGTCCGCCACGTCCGCAGCCGATGAGGAGGCAGTCATCTGAGGATGGGGCGGTGATCCTAAGGAGGAAATTGGAGTTTCCGCCGCCCCCTTCTGGAGGGAGAACGCCATCACCACAGCGTCTCATGCTCCCTCCACCGCCACCTGCGAGTGCATCATCAAGACTGTACAGACTGTCAAGGAATCCCGCTGCCATTAGCACTACCAAGACTTTGCTGTTCTGCGCAAAGGCGTATAGTTTGCTCTCGCCCTGCCAGCCCTTTGCGGCGGATCCGCGCGTCCTGTACCCGTTGTTGTGCATAGCATCACTCGACTTCTTGCATGCCGGCACATCTATCAGGGGAAGGCCAGTCGATGTGGGTGGGTTAGGACGCTCAGTAATACTTCTCCTGGCACACATGGTGGTTGTGGGTGTTCTGTGGAGATGGAATCGACTTTGCGCAGGTCGAAGTGTTGCTTGGGATGGCATGTAACGGATGTTTGGGAGCGGAGTATGGTTGTGACAGATCTGATTTATGATACCTCTATAGCATTAACACGAAGCAACAAAACCATCATAATAATACTTCTGAACGTCGCAGTTGGGTGCAGTGCCTTTCAATTCGAGTTGTTCGACGCGCCGCGCACGTTATGACGGGCGTCGGTGGCTGGGTGGGGCCTGGGTTCGTTAGCTTTGTTTTGGAGTAAACACGCTGACCCGCTTCGTCTTCAACACTCATCGCACTTTCCACTACAACGCGCCCCAAGACACCCCATCATACTTGGGCTGGAACTATTCTTGGAGGTAATGATATAACTTCAGTAGTCTTTACGAAGTATCTTTCTCATACCCTATTCACGTGTTTACCACGCGACGCGACCCACCACAAGCTGCCCGCCGCAGCCTCGCAATTTCGACATGCAGTCGTCTCCTCCTACAAGTGACGGGAAAGCGCGCGCTATTCGAGAACTATCACGCAGCCTCAGCCACAGCCCCAGGAATATCACCTCGCCATCACCACCACCAAGCGACTCGAATCCCACGCAGCGCTCGGGCTTCGGCACCAACACGTCTCAGTTCTTTGACGACCCGGACATTCTCATGTCCACACAGCACAACATTGGCGAAGATACCAACACACTCCCAGCATACCCGCACATTCGGTCAACAGCCAAGAAGATGAACACTTGGGCACCGTTCCGCTCCCAGCAGGTCCAGCCGGATACATCCATGGTAAACAAGGAGTTCGGCGACTTTGACCACAGCATATCAGACGAGGAAAGCATGGCCGTAGAACAGGCACGAGGTAACCGCAGCAACCGCGGTACTCCCAGCAAGATGAGCTCTCAGTTTAACAGCCTTTACGACATCACACCCCCCACCAACCGGTCGCGCAAGTCATACCAGGCAGAGACTGGTAGCCTTCGACGCGACGCGGCAATCCGACGCGCCTCACGCAACGACCTTGATACTGCATCGCCGCGTCCTGCAAGCAAGCGCAACTCCCCCGCCCTCTCTACCAAGGAAGACCGCAAGCGTACTTCTCTCGCACAGCTGCACGCGAAGCTATCGGAGGACGAGTCATCGTTTATGGAGCACCGACCACCAACACTGACCATGGAGTCGGCCAAGAACACGCGCTGGGGCAACAGGAGCCGACAGACCTCCCTCCAAACTGACGGCAACGTCGACCCGCCGCAATCAAAAGGCACATCTCGCTCCAGACCGGCCACAGCACAGAACGCGACTGCGCAGTCGTTTATTCTGCCCGACATCCCCAACCTTACCGAGCTTGTCTCTGGCGTCTTCGACGATGGCACACCAGTCTTTTCCAAGACCGCACCCTCAAGATCACGCTTCGCTGCTCCTCCATACGGTGGTCGCCGACCATCGCATATTCCCATCGACGGCGCGCCCATTCCTGATGAAGAGAAGGCCATCTTCGCTGCCCTCCAGCAACTGCAGGAGAAGATTGCAGACATGGAGCGTGAGCGTGAGGAGAAGGACAAGAAGATGGATGAGCAGGAACTGGAGCTGATCGAGCTGAGAGCGACTACACAAGCTCAAGAGAAGTTGCGACGAAGCGACAGCGCGCAGGACTCTGATGCTGGCGGAAAGAGCGGCTGGAAGGTCGAGAAGACGCGTAAGTTGCTACAGAAGATGGAACATGTATGACTTTACTGACAATGGCTAGGTCTTGACGCGACAGTACAGACCCTCCGAACCAAGCTTGATCGCGCCGACCGCAAATTCGCCGTACTCGAAATTGAGAAGAAACGCCTAAGCACCGAGCGCGACAACATGGCGAACCAGCTTGGGGTCGCATTCCAGACCTGCGAAGAACTTAAGACCGAGAAGAACGCATTGAGCCACGAGAACGAGCAGCTCCGCCAGGAGATTGACAACCTTCGCGAACAACTCGAGCAAGACCAGTCACACCACCGCGAAGAGACAACTCAGCTCCGTCAGCAGTTCGACCAAGCCGCGAATGCGACCCAGAGGGAGAACGCCAACCTACATGCCGAGTTGGCTCGCGTACGCGCTCAACAGGACGAGAACACCCAGCAGTTGACTCGTAGGGATATGGAACTGCGAAAGGCGCGTCAAGAGCATGCTGAGTATGCCCGTTTGAAGTCCGACCACGAGTCGCTCAAGGCTCAATTGGCAGAATTCAAGGCAAAGCGCGAAGAGGAGGCTCAGCGCTGGTCTCGTCAGGAAGCTTCGTTGCGAGCTCAGGTTGGCCGACGTGACGACACCATCCGACACTTCGAGGATATGACACAAGAACGTACCAACGAAGCCATGCGTTTGGACAATGAGAACCTCCGAAATGAGCTTCGCGAACTGCAAGCCCAGCAAGATGAGGAAAATGAGGAGTGGGCCAGGAAAGAGGCGGAGTTGCAGCGAAAGATTCGCCAGCGTGAGAATGCTCGCAAGGCTAGGGACAGCGAACAGCACTTCGACGATACCACCGGCCCTGTTTCGAGAACTAGGGATACGGAGCACATCTTCGAAGACACTCTACAACGCAAGCCTAGCTACCGCCGCGAGGACACACGCACACGCATCAGGAACCGTGTTCAGCAAGAAGTCCGCAACAGCAAGGTCGCTGGAGTACCAAACCAAGAGAGCCCGCGGAAGTCGTTTACCGGACATTCGCGATTCTCAACCCGCAGTGTGTCAGCACCTGTTCCCGCGGACAAGCACGCTCGCGCCGAGAGTGATGTGGAGTCGACAACCGATCTGTCTCTTGCACCTCGCGCAACTCTTCGCATCTCACGGAACCCCACTTCTACGAGACAGACCACGACCGTTCAGCCTCCTGCCGACCTGAGTCTGACAGAGTTGAGCTTCTTCCCTCAGGAAGAGATTGCTAGGCTTCGACGATCTCTGGAAGAACAGCGAGCTGCCGAGCGCCATGGTGCTTCATCTGCCAGGACTGAAGAGCCAGTCCGCGAGGATACCGTTCGCTCGCAGCGCCAGACTCGGGAAGATACCGTCAGGTCAGTCGCTTCTGCTAAGAGCGAACGACGACCCTCTCTTGTGCGCAAATCGTCACTCAAGGACACCACACAGCGCACCACCAACACTAATTTCGAGGAAGACACTGGCAACATGTCGAACTTAGACGCCGACGCTGAAGCCACCCAAACAAAGCAGTCAGCCATTGACGCGTCTATGCTCAGCAACACCAGCCGCAGACGCCGCAGCGCTCCCACCGAAATGACATCCGCATTCATCCTCCCCGACATCAAGCTCAGCTCCACAAACCAAACCAACGCTTCACGCAAACCCATCACCAAAGACCACGACAACGACAACTGCACCGTCTGCCGCCGCGAAGGCTACACCACAGCCACCGGCCCCCTCCGCGTCCCCAAACTCGTCTCAGCTTCTTCCCGCACAGCCGACGAACCCGATGCCACCCTCCGTCCCGCACAATCCCCGCGCGAAGCCCTCGCCCTCGTCGTCAAAGGCCTAAAAGACGAACGCGTCCACCTCTGGGCCGAGCTCGCCGTCCAAGCCGCCCTCCTCGAGCAGCACGACCCTAGTCTGGGTAAGCGCCGCCGCGACGCCCTCAACGCCTCGATCCAAGACCTGCACCGCCGTCTCGAATGGCTCGACATGCAGATCTACCGCTTGCACGACGTGCTCGAAGGCCAAAAAGCCGATGAGTTAACTGAAGCGGAATTCGACGACCTCACCCAAGAAGTCCTTGTTCAACAGTCTGAACAAGAGCAAGAGCAAGACGGAAACACGGAGAAATCGGTAACTACTGGTGGAAAGAAGAAGGCGAAGAAAGTTACGATCCGCAGCTTTGTCGATGAGGATGAGGATGAGAGTGTGGAGCTGAGGCGTAGTGCGGCGCAACAGGATCACGGGGCGGAGGAGAGTGGTGATGAGACGCATGAGCTTCCTTGGGAGGGGTTTGGTGAGGAGAGTATGGAGGGGGATGTTAGTTTTAATGCGCTGGAGGGGTGGAGGGCGAGTGTGCATTAAGTTTGTGTGAGAGGAAAATTGTCTTAAGTATTCTGTTCGATGAAAAGTAGGGTTGGGTGTTGCATTAGGGTGTTTTCTTTGGATATCGGGAAATTGGGGACTTGCATTGTTAAGGGCATTGGGTATCGGCGTTCCTTTCTTCTCTGTTTTGAGTATGCGGATGGCGGTTGGATTCTTTCTTTTCCTTACCTTCTTGGGTACTCTTCTTCTTCGTTCGTTGGCATTGCGGCTCTTCTTGTAGACTGCCAGTCGCTCGGCATCTGGCTCGGTATTCATGTCTCGGTTCTTTCGGCTTGAGACCTCGACTCACCCTCTCTTTGGGTTTGAGTTGGTCTCGCTGGAAGAATAGGGACATGGATGTAGATTCATTTGCTCGGGCATTGGAAGCTTCAAGAACGGGTCACAGGGTCAACAATGGATCATCCGGAATAGTCTGGATATGAAGAATGGAATACATCGTCTCATACATCTTCATTGAAACATTCACGTGTTCTTACATCCACAACTGCCTCTTTTCACTCGGTCTTCCTTCACTTAATCCTCGCCCCGACCGACATGCTCGTATGTGTGCGAACACCCGTGGGGTGTAAAATCTCCTACCAAAAGCCCTAAGGTGACTGACTCCTTTGCCGCCGTATACGCAAACCCCTTGGCATATCTCCCCCAAACGCACCAGTAGCCTGCCATATACTCGGTCCCGCCTTCCTAGTCTGCTCCATGGGTGGGCCTTCTTCTTCAGAAGTTCCATCTTCTGCGTCGTCTACGAACTCTTCCTGGATAACAGGCTCAACACGGGCTCTTGTATTGGCTTCCTTTGTAGGTTGAGTACTGGGCTCTGCTGTATCGCGTTTATCTATCTTGTAGTGTGGGATTGATGGAGACTTCGGAGGTTGGCTGCTTAGCCGTGTCTGCTGTGTGACTGGACCGGGACCCGCTCTCCCTTTCGTTCTATTATTGATGGGCTTGAGCGGCTCTTTGAGCCTGAGCGGCTTGAACCGCTCGAGATGCATTATTTCAGCCGGTATGGGTAGATCCAAATGCGACCCCCATTCCGAAGGAACATATCCTTGCGGGCTGTTCTGGGGCTCAGGAGATGTTGGAGGAGATATTGCCGCTGACGCACCCTGGTACAAAGGCTGCGTGGATTGTGTTCGAATAGTAGCAGTGGATTGAGACGTCTGCGATGAGTCGTGACGGGGTGACCTTGATCCCTTCCTAGAACGCGGTGATGAACGAGGTGGCCTGTTGCCATCTTTGTCTAGAGGTAAGATTCGATCAACGTATTGGGTCACTGACTCCGAGAATGCCAGTATTTGTGTGGTCTGCTCAGCCGGCTTAGTACGTTGGTTCTGCTTTTCGAATGTTGAGACCTTAATCGAAGCTTCTCTAAGGTTTTCAAGTAGTTCGATCTGCTGGAATTCGCGTCCGTCTCTGTTTAGAGTCAGCATCATTGGCTCTCCGATGCGGCCTTCAACTATACCTGATGCTTTGTATGACCTTGATGCGCTTCTCCACCGGCATGCCAAATTCCTGTTCTATCTCCTTTCTTTGTTGAGTTGTGAGTACTGACTTGAGGTACACAAGTTGTTCGTCTAGCAATTCCATATTGCAGACATTCGTAAACCCGTTCATGCTTTGTCTCGCTACGCTAAGGGAGGCGCGTAGGTATTCTAGATAGCTCTTGCTACGGTACCAATCGTAATGGGCGCGGGCTACTTGATAAGCGGTATGCTGGTAGATAGGATCTGTAGACAGTGCGTCGACAGTGTATGACAATTGCTCAAAATCTTGTATAGCTGCTTCAGTCCAGTCGGCTAAACGTTCTTGAGCTGACAGGACCAGTTCTGTCTGTTTCTTTTTGGTAGAGCAGGCATTGTAAAATTCGTAAGTAAGAGCTGTAAATATGCTCATCTCGTTAACCAATTCTTCGAGTTCGCGTCGCGCAAATTTGACTGATCTGGCTCCGTCACGGAGTTCGCGGCCGAGTTTGAGTATGACTGGCCCCAGAGTGACTGCTGCTGCTATAGTACCAAAGATCTCCGCCATAATTTGAGTGAAGATTAGTTCAGAGAGACTGTATTGAGAAACTTCGCTGGAAGCAAGAAAGTTAGAGATTGAAAACCTGAAGGACACGCCGGTATGCTCAAACACGACACAGTCTTTTAGAGGGCGCAGCGACGACTCGGCAGCACAGAAGGGGGAAGAAGTAAACAGAACCATTCCGAACGTGCATATTGACCGGTGAACTGATGGCTTTATTGAGCATGCACGACTCTACCAACCAGCGGCTAATGGCACTCACCACTTTGGCCTTCGCATGCAGGGCAGGCGGGGTAACGACCTCGCCTCTCTGCCTGCGCACTTGAGGCAGACTCACCACACCGGGTATAACAGTGGTTGTTGCATCTGATAGGCGTTATTGCCTATCGATGGACGTGTGGGGGAGCGGCATGAATGTGTTGGGCGTGGTTCATCCGCCGAATCGTGGATTGAGTGCATGGCACAGCCCTGGTGATAGGAGCGTCGCTGCGAGCCTTGCTGTCGGCCTTGCATCTCTTGGGGGATACTGTGTATCGATGTTTTGAGATGAGTGAAGGAGATAGGAAAGAGGAAGACGGAAGTTGCGTAAGTAACACGTGGATTAGTGCCTTGGCAGCCCATGTAAGGAAGGCGCTCTCACATACATCACACCCACGAAGAAGATTTGAGATTCAAGTCTCGATTGATACTACTCAGAGCCCTCGGCTCAAGTAGATCGCTACAAGAAGTAGCCTACCTATGACCGAACCTCTCAAATCCGAACCTAGGAAATCCACCAGTGCTCCTCCAGTAAAAGGCAAAGGGTATCATCCATCTCAGTCCTCCATCCGTAACGCCGTCGTAAAAGTCGTAAGGGATCCAAGCACGAAAGCCAGATCCAGACCCATAATCCGTCATCAACATCCCCGTATTGCGTCCGTTTGACCGAAGAGAAGCGCAAACCACAAGCAACAGAACTGATCCATATCCCACCATCGCCATAACCAGCACATACAACCGACTCCCGCTCACCTCCCAGAATAGAACTGAACAAAGCGACGAAAAGCGCATGCGTAGAAAAATGACTGGCAGAACGCTGAAGAAAGACATGTAAAGAAGAAATACTTACTGTGATTGGTCGCGTTCGCATCTCGAAAACCAGCGAACAGCGATCCAGCACACAGCTCTTGTCCAGTTGAGACTCCCGTCATTCTTTCCCCTTAGGATAGCTCTTTACATGCGCTTGGATTCCTTGGAGCGGCTCATCCTGAGGATAGGTAGCTCCCCGGCTGCCTTCTGACGAGGCCTCGGAAGACGGCTGTTGGTGAGGACGGCACGGAGCCTAGGGTTGGACACGCGACGCAAGACAGCGATGTCGTCACTGCCCCAATTGTTCGAGCGCTTCCTGGGAGTGGCACGCTTGGCGACGGTGGGCTTGGATTTGACTAGGCTCGGCAGAACATATTGCTCCTCGACACTGTTGCGCTTGGGAATGTTCACCATGCGAATCGGAGTGGGCGACGTCGTGAAGGAGCCGGGAGACTCGTGACCAGTTGGTGTCATCGGTGATGGGCGGCGTTGGGCTTCAGGTACGACCTGAGACAATCGCGAGCCACTGAATGGAGTAGGCAGCGGACCTGGACTGGAGTTGATCATGCGACGATGAACAGGCGTAGTAAACGCGCTGTTAGCCGGCTCAGTGCTGGTCTCGTTGTTGACGGCACCGGTACTCATGTTAGTAGCTAGTAGCAGCAGAACAAGGGGCCCGATTTGTTTACCATGAACGTTGGAACCTCCAGCTGGAGTGCGTGGCACGTTGGTGGCATGACGACCGTTACGGCCGTGGTATCCAGTCGAACGTCTTGAGGTGCTTGGAGCTCCAGTATTGCCGTTGAGGATCGGGTGACCACCTGCATGGTGAGTGTTGCGGCGCGCCCTCGCATTGCTGCGTGCCATCTTGACCTTGACCTGACTCTATCAACTTAGCACACAAACCACGAAGATCCCGGGTATGCAAGGGGAACTCCGTACTCTGACCTGGTATATAGCTTCTGCTCGCAGTAAACGTGTTGTGCGCTGTGAAAAATTGTCGTTCGCGTCAAGGTGTTGTTGTGATGGCTCGATTGGGTGTTTATATACAAACGGACGCGGACGCGCTCGGGCCGGGCGACGAGAACTTTGCACCCCCGCATGGCGAAAACTGTTTCGAGGTGAAGAAGACGAGGAGCGGGGAAGAAAGCGGTAGGGCTTGATGTGGACGTGATTCGCCTTCACTGTGAGGAGCGTCGGTTGATTGGTAGCGTGGAGCGGTGAGGAGCCGGTGGGCAGCCAAATAGCATGTATATATCTTGAGATACGGTAGGAAGGGAGAGTACTAGCCAATAAAGAGCGATAGTAGCTCGCTGCAATGGACAGGAACCTGTCCCACAGGAAGGCATCCGTTCATGTGCCAGGTACAGCTGGTGAGTGCGATACTTATTGCATGTGCTGTACGAATTGACGGAAACAGCAACGAACAAGTAGAGAGAGTGAGTTCATAGAGTTGTAAGAAAGACGAAAAGACATGGGAGAAGGACTGATATAAGAGTTGAGCAAAGCGAGTAGTGAGAGGAAATGTCAGGTAATAGCATACAGTACCTCTAACATCGGCCTCAACTTATAAGATCGAAAAGGTAATCCGACCAATCCTACACAAGAGTGACGAAGGAAATGATCCTAGTCACAAGCCTACTATGGAGTTCAAAAGCAAGACACAAACGCCAACAGAGAGATCCAATCCCAGAACCAAACCGTAAAGCAGCCACATGTCAGGGGAATATGTAGCAATGTGGCCTCTCTATGCGCCATATCAGCGCCGTGAACGTCCAGCCATGGAAGTAGAGTGAAGAAGAAAGGTCGTGGACAATACAAAGGAGACTGATAGCACCCGAAGAAGGGTTGCCTCAGATGTCTTCCATATTACCCGCCGCTTCATCTTCATCGCCTGACTCGTAGCTGCCGACAGAGCTCATCTCGTCGTCATCGCCATCGTCTTTGTCAGAGTCTTCGGCAGTGTCCTTGTTGGCGTACTTCTGGACGTATTCTAGATGTACATTAGCCTGGCTCACACGACTTACCCTTGTATACATACCCTTCACCTTGGCCTCGTAGCTCTTAGGTTCGCGCATAAGGAGGGCTGCGGCCTCGCCGTTCAAAGGATCGGTCGGGTTTGGGTAACGCAGGAGCTGAGGAAGGAAGACCTCGAAAATGTTGATCATGTCGTACATTGGTGACCATGTCTGGTTGATAACGTCGAGGCAGACGGAGCCAGAGCTGTACAAGTAAGCGGGTATTCTCCAATGAAGCCAAACAGGGGTATATTTCGTACAGTTCGTCGATATTGGGGTGGAATATCCTGTTCACGAAGCCGATGCTAGGGCTCTTATACGGATACTGATCAGGCAACTCGACATGGATCTTCCAAAGCCCGCCCTCGAATGGCGCTGTCCTTCATTAGCGCATGATGATGCGCATGGCGCGTGCGCGACTTACTTTCTACTGGGCCCTTAAACCTAACGTAGAACTCCTGCCTGTGGTGTGTCAGCGTCGTTTCGGCGAATGCGGATTCGGATGGTAGGAAGGACTGACACTACGGGATGTTAGCTGTGTATCCGATAGGAATGGGTGTCATGTTACTCACTATTGTCGTTGACCAGAGTCACCTCGTAGTCGCTCATAAGCCTGCCTTGTATCAGCTATCAGGATTCACCATGGTTGCCAGGCGCGTGGCGCGAAGAAGGCGGTAAATTGGTCGACATACATCCTGATGGCGTGTTAGCATTCTATCTTACAGCAGGAAACATGCGCAACATACTTCATGACCTGTATAGTTGGAAAGAGGCCTCGGTTAGCTCTTGTCCTTTGCTCAGCAACCACCGGGGTGAAGGTCTCCACATACATCCGTCTCAATACGTCTCTTTGGCGAACTCATATTGGCGTTCCTGATATCGCGACCTATAAAGGACTTTGCTCTTCCCTAGTCTTCCACTCGTCTTTAAGTTGTATACGGCAGTGCGCAGCTCGCAGTGAGAGCTCTCGTGAGGTAGGCGGCGGGGCTATCGATAGTGGATGAGGGGCGCGTTCGTTGGCAAGTGGTGTGTGCTTTGCTGGCAGATCGTGGTTGTTTGAACCCTGGTAAGGATGTTGATCGGTGAATGTGTGTTGTTGTCGCGTCTTTGGGTCGGACGTGTCAAAGGGCAGGAACAGTGAGGCGGGAATGATGGTCGCGGTAGTCGCGATCACGAGCTCGATACCGGCATGTCACGCTTGCGCACGTCTCGCCGGGCAAGTCATCGCCGAGACCACGGCGCGACCGCGTGTCTCTCGTGCATTCATAACGACGCCGCTCTCCAGTCATCATAATACATACTTCTACTATCACTGACTCTACCCAGGTGCTTACATGTCGATTCGCAAGCTGTGTGGATATCTAGGTAGGATGACTCCAAAGGCTACGTCACCGTGTGCCACGCGTACCTAGCCATCCAAACCCAGCACTTGAATCTACCAAGTATAACAAAGCGTCCTGAAATTATCGGCAGTGATGCACAAGAACAACAGAAGGACTGAGATACACTCGCCGTGCATGAAGCGGGACGTCTCTTACCAAACGCAGACTGGCTGGTTCCCGACGGCTACCTGATCTGACTTGACACTTCAGCGTAGATGGAACGAAGCAATCTTCAATTGCGTCTGAATAAACCAAGATTTGTTTGAAGCTTATGCCGACCGCACAGCTGAAGACAGTATAAGTGCAATGCAGACTGAGGCTGCTGGGACCGACATCCAATCACTGAGGAGCAATGCCGCAGCTTCCCCGAGATCCTCGCCTGGGGCCTTCACCGCCGGTCCGAACGACGCTCTCTGCAATTCGAGGCACAGCGCTGGAAGTGTAAGAATACAAGGACAGATAGAAGGGACACGCTACAATACACATAGTCATAGTCAAAAGGCGGGGCGTACCGAAGAATCGACCCGCCGAAGCAATCAGGGCACATCCAGACCCCTGGCGTCTGGGCGCAGGCTGACCCTCGGTTCTTCCAAAACTCCAAGGTTAGGTATACAATCTTCAGCGCAGCTCTCTGCACATGTTGCTTAAAAGCAACACCCATCCCGCCCTAGGACCATGGCTTACGAACAAACCTCCACACCGTCCTCAGGGGCTCTGACAAATTTTCTACTGCCCAAAATACCCACCACAACCACACCTGCGACACCGCCGCCATGTCGCGTGCCCTCATGAACGTGCTGCGAACGTCTTCGCGACATATTCAGACAACACCACGTGCATACTCGCCGCTGCCATCGATATCGCGAGCTATACTGCCTTCCGCACAAATCCGATGGAGTTCACATTCTCCACTGGGCTCTGCGCCAGCAAACACCCGTAAACCCGTCACTCTCAACACGCTGCAGAGTCTATACCGCAAGAACGAGCCCATCACCATGATAACCGCGCACGACTTTCCCAGCGCACACGTCGCCGACCACGCCGGCATGGACATGATACTCGTCGGAGACAGTCTGGCCATGGTAGCACTAGGCATGGAAGACACGAGCGAAGTGCTAATGGAAGAGATGCTACTGCACTGCAAATCCGTTGCGCGCGCAACAAAAGGCGCTTTCACAGTATGTTCCCATCCACTCGAACTCAACTATCTCAGCCCACTAACAAACCCCCCAGGTCGGCGACCTCCCCATGGGAACCTACGAGATCTCCCCTGCCCAAGCCCTCGAATCCGCCATCCGCATGATCAAGATTGGGCGCGTCAAGTCTGTCAAACTGGAAGGCGGCAAGGAAATGGCTCCTACGATAGCCAAGATAACTTCTGCTGGCATCCCCGTCCTCGCGCACATCGGCCTTACACCTCAGCGCCAAAACGCTCTAGGAGGTTTCCGCGTCCAAGGCAAATCCACATACTCCGCCTTGAAACTCCTCGACGATGCGCTCGCCGTTCAGGAAGCCGGTGCTTTTGCCGTAGTGCTCGAAGCCGTACCCGCTGAAGTCGCTGCTGTGGTTACCAGAGAACTGCGTATACCTACTATTGGTATAGGAGCAGGCAATGGCTGTTCAGGCCAGGTGCTCGTACAGGTTGATATGTTGGGGAACTTCCCGCCTGGGCGGTTCCTGCCCAAGTTTGTAAAGCAGTATGGGAATGTGTGGGAGGAGGCGCATAGGGCGATTAGCCAGTATAGAGATGAGGTCAAGAGTAGGGAGTATCCCGCGACGGAACACACGTATCCTATGGATAAGAAGGCGTTTGAGGAGTTTAGGACTGTGGTTGATGAGGAGAAGGAGAAGTCGGATTTGATGTGATGGAATGTTGATAATGGGTTTCCTGATCTTATTGGTGGTCACATTTCCATCTTTGGGGTTATGTAAGAGACGAAGCGTTGTTCTGCATACTGTAGAGGATATTTACAATTTACGTACACCAGCATTCCTCTACTTCCTCACGGGCATTACCATCTTGACAAGTACACGGAAAGACGCAAACGTTGGAACTCCATCACAATCCAGCGAGCTATCTACCTTCACACCCAACGAGTGAAACATTCGCCTCTATATCCCATCGTATACACCCTGCAAAAAAAAAGAACTCCTACCTTCTGAAACCATGCCGACTCATCCGAAAAAGATCAACCATCCCCCATCTCGAACCGAACCTAGGGTTTCTTTCCACTCACTACCAACAAACAGCAGCTAAAACACCCAAAAACTATGACAAAAAACGATAGCAATGAGCATAACAAATTTTAATCACAAGCACAATGCGCGAAAGGTCTGCATAAAGCGTGTGGCCGCACAGGTGGGGTAATCTGAGTGGTTATCACACCTATGCGGGCATACGCCATGTACATGCCTGTTCGCACATTGTGCTTGGATTCCGTGTGGTCATGCGCGGGTGCAATCGTTC